ACAGCAACCTCGCTCTTTAACACGAAGGAGGTGAAAAAAGTAGTAGTAAAGGCAATCCGCAATCCCTATCGTCACTGCTTGTCACGCATCCCCAGTACTGTCACATCATATCAGCAGTAGAAGACCATTCAGCTCATCTCATGTCAGCGTCGGGTTTGAATCGCTAAGTTTGTTTTGAGCCGTGGTGCCTCTCATTGTGAAGCTAGCACAACGTGTCACCAAAGCGGAAATGATATAGTTGCCGGCCTTCGATCTTCACTCCCATGTCTTCCCATTCCAGTTGACGCATGACGTTCTCGAGAGAGGCGCTGAAGAGCTTGGGCGAGATGGTGTCGCCCTGTCGGACCCCTCTCTTCACACCGAAGATAATCTTCTTGTATATAGAATGGTGGGATCCTGGGTGTGAAATTGCTGTAGAGCCAATGATGTGGGAACACCTTGGTCGCCGAAGGCTTCGATAGCCTCTACTACGGAAGAAGGCCTTCATGAAGTCGATCAACGTGAGAAATAACAGCATCTTGTGCTCTCGCGATACTTCGATGAGCTTGGTTACCAAAACAATTAAGTAATTATGCAGAAAACAGTAACAGTTGGCCGGTAAGGGAGACGAATGGAGACGTTGCCCCTTGAGAATTTCGATGGCCTATGAGACGACAGGTGGTACAGATGCCAGGTGATAACTTCCCCTCGACTTACAACTCGCAAAAATATTATTCCGGTGGTGATCCTGAATAAATTCCCGTAGAGCTACGCCAACCAAAAGGATGTTTTTGTGCTCTTCCAATCTCTACGTTACTTTCAAAGCCATTGTGGCAATTGTTGTTATGCCGTATATCACGTCACTACTGCTGATCTCACAAGTTACCTCATTAGAACCCACATCGCGGATTGTTCTTATTGAAATCATAAGCGAATTAAAGCTCAGATTCCAGTGCGATACTCTCATGCCCAAATTCAGACTAATGAACGTCGTATTCCCACGCCTCACATTTCACACACCGTAGAACTAAACTCATGAATGGACCCGTTCGCTGTCCGGCCATTCCTCATTTTCCTTCTTTTTATTTCGTTTCCTTGCCACAATTCCTGATTCCGGTATCTACAGCTCACTAGCAACTACTCGTAAGATAACTCGCCTAGTGCAAATCCATTTTTTGATTGCTACGCGCGAATGCCAGCTATCTCGTTCCAGCCAATCTCTGTAGGAGCAGCTGGGAGCGCCCACAGAAGGGAGGCCTCGATCTGCGATCTGTTGCCTTTTTGGGAGGGGATAAGGGCTGCCGTCGATCAGCCCGTTTCCAGGATGTGGCACACATCATATTTGAATTCAGAATACTGACGGCCTTGAAGTACCCTCCACAGAGCGGATTTAGTGGGACATCCACTCTAGGAGGCACACTGATCCAGGGTGAAATCCTTAAATGGCTCCCGCCCGCACCGACCAAACTTTCCATTGGTCCCTCTCTCTTGGCTCTAGATCAGAGAAGTGGCTCATTAACCGTGAACACTTAATCCTTTATCCTTTTATCTTTTTGTGTCACTCTATAAAAAGCGTCTTTGTTGCTCAATCGTGATGTTAAGGAGATTTTACATCAATGGCTGACACTGAGGTATTCAAGGAACAGCTAGCAGTAACCATCGTCGAAACAGTTCTGATCGGCGCGGTTGGTGCACATGTTATATTGTTTCAATGAACGTTTGGGTAGTGTGGACGCCAAAAGTGAAGTAGCAGTTGGGCTGAGAAGGCAACCAGACAGCGTTTCCCGTGAAAAAGTGTAGCAGAATGATAAATGAATAAAGCGTTTACAGTCTTTAGTCCTGTAAATGGAAGGGCGTTACTTGGAGAGTACCCGGGCACCCGTTTTCCACCAACTGTTGCGAGCTCAAACCATCGATTGGTAGAAAAGGCAGCCATGATTGCGCTCAAATGAACGCCCCACCATGCCTTTTCATATGAGCGAGTCATGGCTGAATCCATGATCAACCACTGCGAAGTACTCCAGGAGACCCTACCTGATATCCCAATGAAAACTGCACAATCATGAAAGTTCACGAACGGTGGCCCACAGAAAGTGTTTCCTCGTAGTCACATCAAAGTATACTTAAGCGACGAAAGCCACAAGCTAAATGTACTTCTTGAAGGTATCCTTGGTTGGTTTCCTCTGCAACTTTCTGTCGTTTCTCGTTTTGATTCGGCACAAAGCCTTCAAAAACTCATTTGGCTATTTGGCAGCATATGAAGCGTTTTCGAATGCATGTATCCTTCTGATCTTTTCATTATGGACAACACCGTGGACGTTACTGTAGGTGTTTAACGTTACTACCTCTCTTCTTCATTCAACTTTTCAAAGCTTATAAAATTCCAGTGAGATCCCGATCAGTCTTCACAGGCTCAATCTGATCATTGGCGGAATGTCTTTACTCTTTGCAGAATCATCGTTCCATTGCAGCCTTCTCATAACTATCAACAGGTACAACTCACCGTTTTTTACTTTTCTGCTAGGGTTCCTGCTTATACACTTTGGGTGCTGGAAGGCTAGGATTGATAGATTCTAGATGCTAACAACGTCGTCTCAGGATACTTGTCAGCCGCTAAGCCTCCCTCTCCTCCCTTTTTTCTTCCTTCTAGCGGCTCCCTTTGCCACTACATAATCCCGATTTTTCGACTTAATAAAGATGGGACAGTTCGGCGAGGAGGAGGGGAGGGGTAGGCATTTTGCACTTTTGGTACTTCCCATCGACGTGTGTAGAGAGTGTTCCACAGAGCTACTGCATGACTTACAAGAGTTGACAGGTTTTACATGGTGACTCGACGAGCTTGCTCCAGCTTCACAAGAGTTCACAGGTTTCACCAGAGTGAGACTTGTAAACCAGAACTAGTGAGGTGTGAAGATGCATAATGTCACCTCGCCGCCAAACTGCGCCCAAATATCTATTGTCTCGGCCTCAAAGAACACCCTCTACTTCCATTTATACATTTTTGGGACGGATTTCTTTACACTGCCTCACCGAAGCAGTGGTACGATGACATCTCAAGACCTTGGGCACTATCGTTAATTCCACATTGTGTCAGTGTGAGTCCTAGCTAGGAACACTCTGACTTGACGCAGTAGAGCACTCCCTACACTTCACCCACTTCAGTCGCCCACACGTAGGTTGGTCTCTCATCTTGGCCCAACTCACTGCCCGGAAAAGCGTAGCAACCGCGATGAAGGCTCACAGCGAACGGCTATCCACGCCGTGCTATCTACGGGGTTGTGGACACCTACTGTCAAACATGGGCCCTCGTCATCTGGTATCTCGTCCGCGTCACTATTACCCCTTCGCTGAACGCTGTACTATAAAGAGAGAACGACGGGGCTTGCTCTGAGATATTTACTAAGTCCCTTCTTCAAAACCTAAACATCCACATTTGTGCATCTATTACCCACATACCTCTATCGTAAAAACTTCTTTTGAACAAATTTGAATATTTGGTCAAAAACTTGAACGTTCACGATTACAGATTCCTTGCGGTTGTGTTTCCTTTGTTCTACTTGGAGCGTGTTCAGTGAACGGGTCACTCAAATTCTATTGGTGATAGTCTCGCTCATTTCAGTGGCGTATTTCGGTGTCTACTTCGTAGGTTAGTTTGATCGGTTGAGTTGATGACAGTTCCCTTCACTGACCATTTTTAGACGGCTGTGACTTTTATTACGATCACCAGTATAGCCTATGGACGTTTGGTGTGGAGCCATGCAGTCAAATGTTGGCATTTTATGTCGACATGTGCTACAATGTCTCCACTCTTTGTGCTCATAAGTGGCATTGATGCGATAGTACTGGTGAACCTGAGAGCAGCCACCAAAGTAAGTGGTGTTCTACAACTCACTGCTACTGTGAAACTCTAAAACAATATTCAGAAAATAACGGCAGCCAACGGAGCCAACGCGAAAGAGCAGTGTAAAAAGCGACATAGGAAAGAAACCCGACTGTTTCTCCAGGCTAGTTTTACTCGGCCATTGACTCGTTGATTTCAAATGCAAAGATCTCAATTTTAGTCGTTTCTGAGTTCCTGTACGTATTCGTTTATGCTCGTATCCTTCCATGTGATTGCTCGATGGGTGCCTAATGGATTTAGTCTTTTCTTGTGTACTACTTTCATCTGGGGATTCTCTCATACCGTCGCAGGGTAAGCACTTCCGTTTTCTGGGGACATCTAATGCAAGTGATTTCTACCCAACCGTGAGAAGGCAGTTGATCCCGATGGATGCCAACAAAGGAACCAAAAATTCCTGGTGAGCATGGGGGAAGGTAGCTCACCCGCTTATCGAACAACATTGTAAAAAAAGGATGGGTGCAATTATCCACAAAGTCAACTAGAAGGAAATTGCGTCGGAGTGTTCCATTTATTTATGGCATCAGTTGGCTTATACGATGAAGATGTATGATCGGTTAGTCAACGCAGAGTGATAGCTTGGTACCCCTACCTAAGCTAGAAAGAGAAGCACTGCGAGAAAAGACGATTTCTCCTAGCTTTCCTGACCTGCAGAGGCCATTTTACTGTCTTCTAGTGGTCGGAACTGAAATGTACAGAAAGGCCTGAATTACCCTATGAAAAACATGGACAATATCGAAGCAATTTTGGGTTACCCTCAGGGGCTCCGAAAAGAACCACGCTCAGAAAGTAGGGTATGTGACAAGAGGATGCGTAATTTGCCGCGCTTGCTGGCGTGCGCGTGCGACCGGCCTCGCCCGCAATGGCGACGGTTTCAGGGTCAGTAGATGGGCGACAAATGCAATTATTTAGGACGCGAAAACATAACGATGGTCTACATGGCGGGGTCTACACTGAACGTCCCGGTGCTCGGCATTCGACAGGTTGATAACGAGTGACAAACGCCGGCGCCCATCGCCTGCGCGTGCGTGGCGGGCGAATAACGTATCCTCTTTATACCGTCTCCAGAAGTAGTATGTTCATATCTTTTGCTTAGATACCACCATCTTTATCCTAGTGTGGATACGCCAAGAAACAGCTCTGAAAATTCTCAACAGATCGGTCTCTCTTCCCGCTGGTTGTAGACGTCATGACAAAGTAAGGGAGCGTCCAGACTTCGCGACTTCGCAGCGAGCGGTTTTCGTCGGCAGCGGTTTGACACGACCCGAATGGGCAGTCATAAAGAATGCGTCATTTGGATTGCGTCGAATGCGGTCTACCGTCGCAATAGCTCTGAACGCTGCCTAACTCATGAAGGATTCCCTGAAGACCATTTTAATGCTCGCGATATGGCCTACGACGGACACAAGAGAGTAATGCGCTTTCAACTGCGAAAACAGCTGGAAGTGTAGGCAGAGAAAGAGCTACGATTGACTGCGAAGAGGATTACTTAATAAGAAAAACAAAAGTCTGTTTTCGCGTAAGAAAATAACAAAACCAGAAAAATGATCCGTTCAGTCTGGGTCCCGCCCTTAGCTGTTGCCGTTTCACACGGCGGTGGCGAGGAGTCGTCAACGTCGACGATTTCGACGACTAGTTCCCGAAGATTGTATACGTATCGATCCGACGTAACGAACGAAACCGACGAAAGCGACGATTTCGACGAAAGCGAAGAAAGAGGCAGCGACTGAAAGGGGCGGCAACCGAACGTAAAGGGTGCGATACCCGACGACCACTTCGCGAACATTAGATACGTATCGATTATCGAAAACGACGAAACTGACGATTTCGGCGACTGTGCCAAGAATTAGCTTTTCGTAGATGGTTTTTCCCCACAACTTTTTTCACTTTTTTTGAATTTATTTTCTTTTCCGTTTGTAAACATTTTCTCTATCTCCTTCCATCCTCTTGAGTGACCTTGCAACCTATCTTCTTCATTTTCGAGAGTAATACCATGAAATAAAAAAGTATGAGAATTCAGAATGGTTTAGCCGTTGAGGAAATAGGTGCCTTTTGGATTAGATTCGCGGGCTCTCCAACTACGGGACCTCCTTCACGACCTGAATAAGAATTAGTGCATTGCAAAAAAGGGTGCTGGTGATGACTCATCGGCGTACTTGAAGCGCAAATCTAGCAGCGAAATTAGAGTGACACAAACAAGATATGTATACGTTATGTACGAGCATCGAAACTGTAAATTTTCGAATAAGCATGATCAGGATCTTTCCTTTCCAACCTGTAATATACTGGCAACCACAATCATCGTGTCATGTGTATTTCCCTCTAAACATGAGAGAAGGATATGGTGTAAGGTCATTCAGAGAATGGAAGGAGATAGGGAAAATGTTGTACATAACAGAAAGGATAATTAAATTTTAAAAAAAAGTGAAAAAAGTTGTGGGTGGGGAGGAAAACCATCTACGAAAAGCTAATTCTTGGCACAGTCGCCGAAATCGTCAGTTTCGTCGTTTTCGATAATCGATACGTATCTAATGTTCGCGAAGTAGTCGCCGCTTTCGCCACACACTTTCACCACTTCTGGCCGCTTTCGTGGTTTCGCACTTTTCGTCGCTTTCGTTCGTCGAATCGATAGTATAATGTAATTTCGATGAAGTAGCGCGTCTGCTTTCGTCGCTTCGCCTCTTTCGTCGCTTTTCGAAATCGTCGGTTTCGTCCGTTACGTCGGATCGATACGTATACAATGTTCGGGAACTAGTCGTCGGTTTCGCCTCTTTCGTCCGACGTTGACGACGACGCCGTCGCACGGTATGAAGCCTTAGGCATGCTCCTCGTTGATCTGATAGCAGGAGCCCCCTCTGGAGATGCTGGCCGTATTTGCAAGGATGAGGAATGTTCTGATTTTGAAAAATCTTATACTTTGGGAATGCGCCGCCCGCTCGCGACGGGAGCGCGGTCCGGACACTGACCGCAGCGACTTCCAATTTCATTCCTGAAAGCTAGCTAGTGGAACTTGTACAACATGCCCTTTCTTCGCCCTATGCACGTACAAACGTAGTTCACTACTCTAAATAAGGCGTTTGGCACTATTGAACTAAACGGCAGTTCACTAAATCTATAACTAAGAAGTGTCGGCACTATTGAACTATTCCTACCTCCAAAAACTCAAAAAAAATTTCGCTGAAACATTGTCTATAGATGTAATTCGATGCGCTGATCACGAATATCACACTGGTTTCGGGCGCTGACTGTATTGGCTGGGCATAATGTCGCTCAATTTTGGCGCCACACAACTTTTTCAAGCGACAAATTCGATGAAAATTGCATTATGGGTGGTTAATTGATAGCAAATACCTGATTACACATCCAACGTTTGTTTTCCAGCGCTGGCCCCATACGTGCGCCAACTGCGGCGCCAATTTGGCTGTCATATTTGGGCGGCATAATGTCCGGCGACAGTGGCCAGCTGTCCTGAAATCAGTGTGATATTTCGTTGATCAGCGATGTCGATTTACGCCCACATGGCAAATTTTCAATCGCTTTTGTGAAAAAATGGTGAGGCGCCAAATTTGGCGGCATATTGGCGCAAATGACGCTCAGCTTGCAAACAGTGTGATATTCGTGATCAGCGCATCGAATTACATCTATAGACGGCGTTTCAGTGAAGAATTTTTTGAAGTTTTTGGGGTAGGAATAGTTCAGTAGTGCCGGCGTTACTTGCGGTATTTTTTCTGCTTTTTTTTCTCTCCGCTGCTGGATCAGTTACTACGTTGTCATCAAAATTTGAGCCATACAACTGCTCGTTTTCGATACGCCGAGCGTACGCCTTTATGATAATTATGACTATAGCGATAAAGGTTTGAACGAAAACCCCCTGGTGAGAAGGGTTCAGAATGTGGCGATGTGTCGATGAGGATGTGATGAAGTGGATGGGTCCACTGGTATCCTCTGCAAAAAACGATGTTCCACATGCTCAAAGGTATGTATCGTGTGTCGAGCAGTAAAAGTGCTGCGAGGTTCTACGGCTAGCCTGTGGTGGCCCTTATGTAGGAACCACAAGAGGTAGCCTCTTCCAATTGGAATAAGGATGCCATTGTAGGCCTGAACAAGAGCGGTTCACGGACAAAAGCTCTAGAGTGGTCATGCAGACTAACCAAAACCCAAATGGGCAGTAATGCAAGTAATTGATACGGGCATTTGCTGGAAAAGCCACAGGAGCATCTGCCACCTCTAGGACAAGCTTGAGCCTTCATTCCCAATTTTAGCTCAATGTATAAATATTGTAGGGGCTATGGCGCAAAAGTCATTGAGCTGAGTGGATAAGGGGCCTTGGTGACGTAAAAGGTAGCACAGAAAGCGTGAAGTGTGGGCTTGTATCTCGCCTGGGGTCGGTACTTTTGCTCGTGAACCAGCATTCTTGCGATAACTTGGGGCAAGCGACTCGCACGATAAAAACATAGGGTCACGAAAGGATGACTGCGAGCGAGTGGAAAGACGGTACCAAGAAGGGCTCCAGTGGAACCGAGTTTAACAGTGAATGCCTTCAGTGGTTGAAACTGGTAATATCTGGAGAACGTGTGTTTTCTCCGCGACCCCGCTCCCCCGCCCTTCTTCGCCGCTGACAGCGCAGTTATAGCCTCTTTGAAAGTGAAGAAAGAGGAATGGTTTGTGCGCATACTATACTTACTGCTAGAGCATACTCTTTGGTTTGAAAGCTGAATTACGCGGATTTCTCTTATGGTTAGAAGTCATGTCGCGCAACTGAAACTATGCACCTGTGCAGAGCGGTACTATAGATTAAGAGGCTTATTGAAACGGATTGCAAAAGTGTATCAGAAGAACGCGCTGATATCAAAAAAAAGAGTTCACATTTCAGGGTTATCCTGATATACTTCAATCCAGAGATTCGGCGGCATATTCTGGGCATTCGACCTCTCTCGAAGTTCCTAAAGGATCCAACCAGCATGTTTTTCATAAGACCTATGCAAACAATGCCGCAAACAATGCAGAGCACTTATCACCCGGATAAATATCTTTACTCAAGCTGTTATTCTTTGATAGCTGCTGTTTAAAGCCGCAGTGTGCGATTCGAAAGCTATCACAGGAATGTTGAGTTGTGGACAAAAGTCGGACCACGGGCGTGATTCGAAGAACTCGCGTATCCCTCTTTCCGTGCGGCTGCGTTCCCTACTAATAATACGATTGATGTCTTTACTTTGATCTTCTGTGGCTATAAT